CCCTACTGATCTGGTTGAGGGTCTCCTGAAGGATCCAGCTGAGGTCCACGTCGTTGTGGCTGGAGGTCCCCATCTCCACCTTTGGTGCCAAACACGATTTGTTGGCGCCCAGGGGTTAGTGCACTGAACTGTGTTCGAAGGGTTAGGTAACCGTGGATGAAGTGTTTATCATCACTTTATCGTCATTCAACGCTTCATCCATCAGTTTTATCGTCATTCAACACTTCTGTCGGGATCTCCGATCCCCCGAGTTGGTTGATGAGAAGGATCCAGCACGTTGATCAATTAAAGTCAAAATGTTTACATTTATTTAGAAGAGAAAAAGATGACATGAGCAATTCTCTGCAGATATCGGTCTCTAACTATTGCTTGCAAGCAGGAGGTCCAACACACCAGCACGTATTCCAGCGCTCTGTGTAATGGCGTCTCCGAGCAGTAAAAACGCTGAGTTTTTATACACTTGAAGACAGTTCTTAGCGGCAGTTTCGAGAAGCCACAAATCAAGTTGAGATAAGAACTGCGGTGAAGCTGAGGGTAACACCCAATGCTCCTCTGATCGAAGGTCCGTGAGAGCGAGATGACCCCCTTCCCCAAACACAGCTGCAAACCCTAAATCTTTCTCTCTCCATCTCAGGGTCAACCACTGCGACTTGGCTTTTAGCACAAGACAATTGTTTACAGAATCTTTTCACCACTACGAGCATCTCACACCGGCAGAAAACAAACAAACAACCCAATGGACGACACAAGAGTCCCTAGTAGAGCACAACGGCGTAGATTCCGGTGTTCGGTTGCCAACTACCATGGGTAAGTTCATTTCAGTTGCATCACACTAAAACAAGTGCTAGGTAGCAGATGCTAGCTGATGCTGTTTGTGAGACGTGTTAGCAGTGCTAATATGTGTTGAAACATGTGTACCTTCACATAACTAGCGAGGAATTAAATCGACGATGAAAACAATGTAACAATGATGAAACGTAAGGCTAACCCGGGTCCCACTTGATAACCGTAGCTTTCCAAGCTAACATGGGTGCCACTTGCTAGCTAGCCCTTAGCCTTTGAGAAACGTGTAGATCTTCCCACTAACCTGCAAGGAATTTAATTTAGAATGAAAGTTACAAACGTAATAAAGTGTACATTACATAAACTGTACTTTCTACATTTGTTTTTGCACTATAGTTGAGTTTTTATGTTTTTTTGTCCATTTTTATGTGCAGGTAATTTCTTTGTGCACGTTATTTTACGCACGTATTTGCTGTAAAGCACTTTGAGCTGCATTCTTTTGCATGAAAGGTGCTCTATAAATAACGTTTTATTATTATTTGTGCTGTACCATCTTATAGATACTACAATGGACCCGGAAGAGACGCTGCTCGAGGCTCATCTGGAACCTCCTCACCTACGTCAACTCCACCTTCTACTCCACTGCGTGCTACCTCCTCCGTTAGGTCGACTCTAGCTGCTCTCCACCACCTTCTGCTCCACTGCGTGCTACCTCCCCCGTTAGGTCGACTCTAGCTGCTCTCCACCACCTTCTGCTCCACTGCGTGCTACCTCCTCTGTTAGGTCGACTCTAGCTGCTCTCCACCACCTTCTACTCCACTGCGTGCTACCTCCTCCGTTAGGTCGACTCTAGCTGCTCTCCACCACCTTCTACTCCACTGCGTGCTACAATCACCGATGATCTACCTGGTAAGTTCTGCAATATTATAACTGCATCAACATATGGGCATCACAAAGAATCTTCATGCCATGCTGTCACTCATCCTGTGTAGTCTAACAAACAGCTGATGTCGAGATGGTTACTACCACATGCCTAATCGGTAGGGATACGACTGACTTTATAGCTGCCGTTTCTTAAAGGAACGAGGACCCAGCAAACAAGGCCAGTGAGAGACGTCCATGTGCTGGTAAACCAGATTCAAGTCATGACTCGACAATGGAAGGAGGACGTGGCAAGAAGTGAGGCCCGGGAGGAACGGTTGATCGCCAGCATCCTCCACACTGACAGTACGGTTGAGAAGCTGATGCAGAGAATGGAGAACATTCAACCCCAACCAACCACATTCTCACCACCACCACAACATCAACCACTGCAAGACGCCCATTATGGTTATGGATGCTTACTTATTTACACTAGCGCCTGAAAAGCACAATTTATACACTCTACCTCAGTGTGTGTGTGTGTGTATATATATATATATATATATATATATATATATATATATATATATATATATATTTTTTTCTGTGACATTCAAGGTTTTACCTTTTATACTTGTGTGCTCTTATACATCGTTTTACTTTTCTTAATATTTCGTATAAATAAAACACTTAACTAAAACTTCTGTGAGTTTCTTTATTTGTGGAATGAAACACACATGAACTGTACAAGAATTGTGTTTACAAACCTATGACCAGCTGGCAGTTGTGTCCTGAAGACGTCTAAAGGTCTGCGCGGGGCAGGTTTGCACTCAGGTAATCTGAGGGCGGCTCTGATCCTCTGTCCACGGTTGTTGGCACGACCACCTGGCTGTGGCAGGTTCGATGCCAGTGTGGCCGCTTCCACTGACCAGTTGGGATCCACAGCTTCCCAACAGGAAGTGAGCGATTTCTCTCGGTTCCTGGGAGGAGAAACAGAAATGGTTTCCAGTGTTGGACCTGCTTACTAAATGGCCCAGCAAAAATAAAACAATATATACATAAAAGCACAATAAAGCCTCTATAAAACATCATTCTACTTTAAGCTGGTAACATCTCAATAGCTTGGTGGGAGCTCCACTAGTTTCTGCATGAATAACTTTCAGTAGCTCGACTCATTTATTGATCTCATTGATTTGATCCCCACATTAATACGTCTTCAGAGTACGACCTACTTCTGCTAACAGGCGTGTCTGGCTGAGCACGTTAGCGTCATGAGCTCACCCAGGCATCTTACAGCTGATGCTCCACAAGCTGAAAGAGAACAAGTCGTCAGCTTCTAATGGCACACACGACACACTAACGCACACGTGAACATACGTAGGCGACACAGGACACACAAACACGCACACGCAGGCCTGAGGTCGCGGTGAATTGAACGGATCAGTAAGCGTTCACGTTGCACAGCGCAGACAACTAAACGTATTTGGCCCAAACTTAGCGATACGCGTCGTGCACTACGCCTTGGAGGACAGCGGCATCGGTGCTCGAACAGTCACCTCCGCGGGCTTCATGACTCCTTCCATAATTCCACACAACTTGTGGAAAGATCCTCGAGTCGTGCGAAAGTTCGCTTTCCAGTCGTCGTCATCCGATACGGTGAAAACAGAAGACTTTGTTTCTGCTCTTCATCCAGAGCTCTTCCAGACCTTTGCGGTACAATGGCAGAGTTCAACAATATATTGTTGGTCAGAATTAAATTCTCCATGTACCTTCGGCGACGGCGTCTTCTCTCCGTTATCGAATCAGCCAATAGCGCCATTCGCATTCGCCGCGCTCCTGTTAGCATCACGCACACATAGTCGAGGGACGTAGCTTCACCTCGCTCTCCGCTCGCCGTCTTTCTCCTGACGTTGATGTTGTTGTTGTTGTTGTTGTTGGTCGTGGTGAAGAGGTCAAGCGGAAATGGCTGCATCACAACTAGTTGTAATGAAAACAGCGCAC